CCAGCCGCGTCCGGGCCCGCCCCGCCCCCATAGTCACTGAAGCCTGACTCCGGCTCTGAGTGGGCGGGAGGCAGGTCCAGCTCCATGGCGTCTGAGTTGAGCATCATGATGGATGCCCCCTGCCCCGTGAGATCAGGATCCCCTCCCACCTCTCCCTCGGGGAGCCTGAGAGCTGGTTGTGGGAGAGGCAGGAAGGGCCTTGGGTGGTGGGGTCTGCCACTGAGCTAGAGAAGGCAGAACCGCTTCAGGAGTCCATGGCCAGGATTCCAGTTGGGAGCCTGGAAGAGAGAAGAGGACATTGGTGGGGAGGAAGGAAGGAGGGACAGCTCAGAGGTGAGGAGGGCATCAGGGAGGTTTGAGATGGGCTGGGAGGGGGGAAGTACCTAAGTGTGCGGGAGGAAGGGCAGAAGCAAAGGGGAGGTGTAGGGTAGGGGGACAGCAGGAGCGATAGGCAGGTGGCCGCGTTATTAAAAGAACAGGAAGAAAGATGGTAAGAAGGAAGGGAATCCGGAAAGTGAACCATGGGAAAGCAGGAGAAGGGATGAGGAGGACATGGGGCAGGATAAATCTGAGAAAGGGATTGAAGATCTCAGTGTGAGACCTAAAACTGCAGAGCTCCTAGAAGAAAGGGAAAATGTTTCATGACATCAGACTTGGCAATGATTACTTAGATGTGACGCCCAAAGCACAGGCAACAAAAGCAAAACTAGACAAGTAGGACTTAAAATTAAAAACTCTTGTGCATCAGAGGAAACAGTCAACAGAGTGAAAAGGCAACCCACAGAAAGGGAGACCATTTTTAAAAATCATCTATTGGATAAGGGGTGAAAATCCAGAATATTATAAAGAACTGCCCCTCTAACAACAAAAGATCAAAGAACTTGGTTAATACGTAGGCAAAGGACTTGAATAAACATTTCTTCAAAGGTGATATACAAATGACCAACAAATATATGCAAAGCCCAACATGATTAGCCATTAGAGAAATGCAAATCAAAATCACAATGAGATATCACCTCACACCCATTAGGATGGATGCTCTGAAAAACACAGAAAAGAACAAGTGTGAAGATGTGGAGAAGTTGGGGCCTTTGCACCCTGTTAGTGGGATTGTACAATGATTGAAAACAGTATAGATATCTATATCCAAATGAACTGAAATCGGGAAAAAAGAACTGAAACCAGGATTGTGAAGAGGTGAGTATCTGCCTTCCAATGTTCCTTGCAGCATTATTCACAGCTGCCAAGATATGGGAGCAACCAAAAGTCCATCTACAGATGACTAGGAAAGATTGGCATTTACATACAATGAAAGAGCATTCTGTCTTAAAAAGGAAGAAAGATCTGTCACATGATACCTCATAGATGAATCTTGAGGACAAGATGCTAAGGGAAAGAAGCCAGTCACAAAAAGACTTATTGTAGCCTGGCTGAGTGGCTCGGTTGGCTGAAAGTTGTGGATCAGTGCACAGAAAGGTTGCCGGTTCAATTCCCAGTCAGGGCACATACCTGGCTTGCGGGTTCGATCCCCAGTTGGGGTGCGTGTGGGGAGACAACAGATTGATGTTTCTCTCCCTCTCCTCTCTCTCCCTTTCTCTCTCTCTCTCTAAGCATGTCCTTGGGTGTGAGGATTAAAAAAGGAAAACACTGCATGATTCCACTTAAATAAGGTATCTAAGTAGTCATCTTCACAAAAATATAAAGTACAATGGTGGTTACCAGGGGCTGGGGGGAGGCAGGAAGGGAGGTGCTGTTCCATGGGCACAGAGCTTCCGATTTGCAAAATGAAAATTTCTGGAGCTCTGTTTCACAGCCATGTATGTGACTATACTTAACACAACTGAACTGCACACTGAACATGGTAACTTGCATGGAGTGTTTTTTACCACAACAATTTTAAAAAATAATAATGACAAAAAAGGAAAAAGAAAAAAACTGAGCAACACTGAAGCTATAGGTCCAAGAAAGGTTGGCTGTGACTCTAAACTTTTACCAGCGAGAGAAGAACTGCAAGCCCCCTCCCGGGGCCCGTCTCCATCCGTGTGTGTGTGTGTGTGTGTGTGTGTGTGTGTGTGTGTGTGTGTGTGAGGGGTGGGGCGGAGAGGAGGCTGGAATAAACACGCAGATTGCCCATTGTAGAGTGGACTGGGACATATGGAGCTCGGCACAGCTGCCCCAGCTCAGTGGCTCCCAGCCCACACCCCACTCCCAAACGCACCACCGCGGACAGCAGGCCCTGCACCCTGTCCCCTAGAATCAGGGGAAGGCATCTCCTCTGGCCCTGCTCCCCCTGCTCAGAACCAGCTCTTTGCTCTTGCTCTGACCTCAACAGCCTCAGACCTTCCCCTGCAAGGAAGACTGGAGAAAGGGCACATAATCAGCTCCCACAGCCCCAGGTCAGTTCAGACGTGGCCCGCAGAAGAGGATGAGGACAGCTTCACGGGGCCACCATGATGAAGCTTAGCTACGGTTTGCTGTCCCTGGGGTCAGAGGAGGGCAGGGCAGGGCAGCAGG